GTTTCTGCCCCCCTAACCAAAAAGGGAATGCGTAGAAGGGTAGAGTCAGTTGTCCAAGTCTAAAGGTAGGTCATGTGAATCCCACCCCTCCTATTTTTTTTTTTACTGCTTAGTATGTGTATGTGCTGTTCTCCGGTCATTTACACCTGAGGGGAGAGAGATGGAAGAAAAATGCTCTGCTTTTGCTTCCCCGGGAAAACTCCTTTGGGAAGTGCCCTGGGCTAGAGCTGCAGCTGACACTTTTAGTCTTAGCAGGGAAGATTCTCCCAGAACAGAGTTAGCTTTTCTTTGGTTAACTCGTGGCATTTTAACTAGGTGACAAACCAGAGGGTGGAGGAATAAGGACATACCCTGCAGGTGGAAGTGTGATGTGTAATGAGAGGTCACTTTCGTTTCTTTCATGTTGCAGAATTGTGTCCATCCCCTGTCCAGCCCCTTCTCCCTTTCCTCCACACAGCAAGTCCAAGAGCTTTCTGGCCTATGCCGGCCCAAATCAGTGCAACAGCTAAAGCTTTCACGGCAGCAGGGCTTGCACTCCTCTTTGAAAATGAGCTTATGTTCCCTGGCTCTTTGCAGGCATGCTCTTTATATCTGACAAAATGTTTTCATTGCCACTGGGATCCGGTATACTGAGATCCCTAGAAACAGAGTTGTGTCAAGTACCATACATGCTTGAGAGGCTGAACCATGCTTCTGAAATACATAAAATAAAAGTAAAAGAAGAAGGCTAAGAGCTGGGGCTCCATAACCCAGAAACATGAGGAAGCGAGACTGGTCAGAGCAGGATTAACTGCTTTGGTTTATCCCACTTGGTGTTGCTGGTACCAAAAATTCTTGACAGTATTGTTGCATTCACAGTCTTTCCACACCACACTTCCCAAGCTGCAATTTCAGTTTTTCTTTTTCCTTTATTATATTGTGTGCTCATCTTGCTCTTTCACTCAAAAGCTCCTCATCCAAGGATTTGTTTGTAGGAAACCCTGAGAGACCACATCCCAGAAGAGGTGAGACTCCAGGCATTCATAGTCAGGGAATTTGGTGTTCAGTTGTAGACCATGGTTTGCCCTGCCTGTTTGTTCTTCAGCCTAATTTGTGTATTTAAGAGGGAGAAAAAAACCCACATGCTGCATCGTTGTAATTCAGAATAGATTTGAATGTATGTCCTGCAGCAGAGCAGCTCCCTCCCATGCACAGGTCCACTCGGGCTGACAGATCAAGGAGAGGAAGGGAACCTTTCTCCTCTGATGACGGCAGGTAATAAATCCCTTTGCACACCTTCTGCCTGTCCGTACTGAAACGGCACACTGGTTGGGGCATTACTTCAGCCACTGCCGATGGTGTAAGGCCCCTGGATTCCCCCCGTCTGGCTGCAGCACGGCCCCCGGTCGGAGCATTGCGGTTAATTGTAAATTGCCCTCAGTGCTGGCGAACGCACACATGAGTGGCTATGCTTAACACTGTCCAGCTCCATCAAATCCATTCTGGTGCTTCGAGTCCCTGAAGATACACGTCCTTCTAGAAGGAAACTGGAGACCGGTCTGTCCGCCACATAGCGCAGGCGAGAGGTAAATGACATGCAGCATCCTTAAGCAGCAGCTCTGTAGTTTCCCTTCTAGCGTACCGAAGGGGTGATTTGGGGTGAAGGGCGAGGGCAGTAGGTAAACCATCATCATCCCTAACACACAGGACCAGGCGTGTTGTCCTCCTCCTCTTCCCTTTCCCCTCCAGCCTCCATGGCTACAGGGACTCTGGACAAGGAGGATGAGGAAAATGGTGGAGGGTGGCTCTGCATTAGTGATTTGATGAACCGCTATCAGCAACCAGGACGACACACATCCCTGTGATCGTGGAGCTGCCTCGTGATGGCTGAGCTACCTCGCTGGGGGAGGAAATGACTCACGTTCCCATGGCCGGCCGGCCAGCCTCGGGGCAGCACCCTTCAGTGCAGGAGGGGCTAGGTGCAACGAAAAATTGAACTTACAGCATGGAGCTCTTTCTTGACTGCAAACGACCAATACCAAATGTTTGCTTTCACTTCAGAGTTACCCTTATCTAGGTTTTCCTGTTAAAAAACCACCCAACAGACTATCAAAACCCAGATTGTACAAGAAGGAGGGCGCGGAGGTGTGGGAAGGGATGAGCGTGCTGCCTTCCACTTCCCCTTCAGCAGAGATCAGACTATTTTCAGAATGATGTGTCTTGTAACTGGAAGCGCTGGCAGCCCCGGCGTAACGGAGGAAGGGCTTGGCTTGTGTGGGTTTATTCACATAGTGGGTGCTTTTTTCTTTTATTTTCTTTTTTTCCGCTTTTTGTCACGCAGGGAGGACCAGTGGGAACAAGTAGTACCGCACTGTTTTGCTCCTGCCTCGGCTCTGGCCCAAAGTGGCTTTGTGGGGTGGTTGTACCTGTAACTAATCCTCGAGAAAGCAGGTGTGCCGTCAGAAACGGGAGGCTTGCTCCCCAGGCTGCGGATCTCCTCCCAGAGCCTGCATCCAGCCCAGCATCAGTTAGCTCCCAGCACCAAGAGGGATAGATGGGGAGGGTGGTCCTGGTACCCTTCGGCTGTCACGGTACGGTAACTCCTGAGCAAGTACTTAGGCCTGCATAAGAGCAGGTTCAGACCAACCGGCTTCCTTTACTATGGGCACGGAGTTATACTGGTAAAAAGCACAGCTGTAATGGAAGAGCTGGCTCTGCCTTCAAGGGCTTCCATTGCTGCAAACTGAACTATCCCAGTATAGACCGGGCTGTTGCAAACTGGGGTCAGGAAGTTTGAAAATTTAATTTAAAAAGGTAACAAACTAAAGTGAGGAGTGGTAAGGAGATTACTTGTAACCTCAGGTTGCATTAGGAGCATCTCACCTGTGCGTGCGTTCGCTACTCAGCCTCACCCCAGGGCAGATGTTTGCAGCTTCACCACTTCCCTCTTTATTTTCCTCTCTTCAGAGCGAGCTGGAGATGGTGGACCATCTTGCAAACACTGAGATCAACAGCCAGCGCATTGCTGCTGTGGAAAACTGCTTTGGGGCTTCCGGACAGCCCTTAGCCGTGCCCGGAAGGGTCCTTCTAGGAGAAGGGATCTTAACCAAAGAATGCCGCAAGAAACCAAAGCCTCGCATATTCTTCCTTTTCAACGACATCCTCGTCTACGGCAGCATTGTCATCAACAAAAGGAAGTACAATTCCCAGCACATCATTCCCCTTGAAGATGTCACTTTGGAGACGCTGCCAGACACCTTGCAGATGAAGAACCGTTGGATGATTAAAACCTCCAAGAAGTCCTTTGTGGTTTCCGCAGCCTCCCTCACGGAGAGGAAGGAGTGGATCAGCCATCTGGAGGAGTGCATCAGGCACCTGCTGACGAAGACGGGCCGGCAGCCCTCCACGGAGCACGCGGCCCCGTGGATCCCAGACAAGGCGACCGACATCTGCATGCGCTGCACGCAGACCAAGTTCTCCACGCTCACCCGAAGGCACCACTGCCGCAAGTGTGGCTTTGTCGTCTGCGCAGACTGCTCCAGGCAGAGGTTCCTGATGCCCCGGCTGTCCCCCAAGCCCCTGAGGGTCTGCAACCTGTGCTACAGGCAGCTGCTGGCAGAAAAGAAGAAGGAGGCA